CGTGCAGTACAGTACGAATACGTGTTAAGTTAAGGCATTGAAAATTCTAGTTTCTTTTTTTTTCTACGTACTTATATGGAATCTCAGTAGTTGCTGCAACCAAGTTCTAAATATCGAAATAGGTTGAATTTGACGCTAACACTAAGAATTTTTTTAACAAATCTTACTTCAGATATTGATAATATATCAGGGCACCAAAACGTTTTTATAACGTTATGAGTATAACGTTAAACTATTAAAAAAGGATTGAAATCGATAACAGATAACATATCTGTAACAATAAACAATGAAAACGGATAACGGATAACGAAAGAGAAATGAAAAACGATTAAAATTATTATCGAATAACGTAGCGATACTCAACCTGCGGCCCTCCAACGATTTATATGTGGCCCGAACAGAACTCATTGAATTTATAAAAAAATATAAATTTCAAAACTAATATTATTATAATTATAAATTATAACAAAACAATCAAATGTGTGTGATAAAGATAATTATGCTTTTGGTATTTTTTCTATTTATAACGGTTTTGATGTATTTTATCTTATTGCTAAACTGGCCGTAGCTCGAAGGTAGGTACGCATTATGATTATATGAACGGTTAGTTACGTTGTAGATGTGTAATAGCGTTGGTGTCAGGCACATTTATTTATTAAATGTCAATCGTAATTTTATTTGTTTATATTTATTGTGACATTATGGCAGACGTATCTTCGAAAAAACGAAAAATATCTAAAGAAAATAGACTGTTTCAGGACAATTGGGAAGAAGAATATTTTGTCGTAAAAATAAAAAGGGTTCAGCTACTTGTTTAATCTGTCGAGAAACTGTTATACTTAAAAAATATAATATTTTTCGTCACTACAATATAAAACACGAATCATTTAATAGTACTTATAGTCCCGGATCTTTGACGAGAAAAGAAAAATTAACTTTTTTCAAGAAGTCATTACAACAACAACAATGTGTTATTTCAGTGGCGGTATCACAAGATGCAGACTGCATCATATAAAATTTGTTACATACTCGGTAAGCATATGAAACCATTTACTGAAGCTGAAATTGTGAAGGAATGTTTTATAAGTGCTTCCTCCTTACTTTTGATAAATTTGGCAATAAAAATCAAATAATATCGGAAATTAAAAAAAATGCAGCTTTTTGATTCTGATTGTATTAGGTGTATAGAAAATATTGCAAAATATATTTATAACCATATCATCGAAGACTTAAAAAATTGTAAATTTTTTAGCTTAGCTTTTGATTCTAGCACTGATTTTTCAGCCACATCACAATGTTCTATTTTTGTTAGATACTGTACTGAACAGAATTATATTAATGAAGATTTTTTGCAATTCATTCCAATGAAAAATAAAACTAGAGGCGTCGATTATCTTGATGTGATTACTAATTTTCTTGACGACAACGATATTGATATTAAAAAATTGGTTTGTGTGTGGACCGATGGATGTCCATCGATGACCGGATATGAAAAGGGATTTATATCTCTGTTGAAAAAAAAATATAATTTAACAAATATTTTGTCATTTCATTGTATTATTCACCAAGAAAACTTGGCAGCACGCGTCTCTATTTCAGAAGTAGATTTAGTGATGAAAAACGTAATAAAAATAGTTAATTATATTCGAGCAAATGAACTCAATCATAGAAAATTTAAAAATTTAAAATTATTTTAGAAGAAATGAACAGCAATTATAGTGACGTTCTTTTACATACTTCGGTGCGTTGGCTAAGTAGAGGAAAAGTACTTGAAAGGTGTTTTACTTTACGATTAGAAATTACTACATTTTTACAACAAAATGATAAATTTAATAAATTTGATGGACTTGAAAACAATAATTGGTGGTGCCTATTAGCTTATATGTGTGATATCACAGAAAAACTTAATGAGTTCAACCGCGGTTTATAGGATGAAAATAAAATTATTTCGCAGATGGCGAATAAAGTTTTTGCTTTTGAAGAGAAACTGGAGATCTATTACAAGGAAATACAGAACAAAGTGCTACATAATTTCCCAACCCTTAAAAAAGCTAAACAAGATGATATTATAATTTCTGAAACAAATAATATAATAATTTTAAATCATTTAGATGCCTTATCCAATGAATTTAAAAAAAGATTTCAGGATTTAAGAACTGTAAAGAATTGTTTTTTACTTATAAAAAATCCTTGGCACTAAAAGTAAAGAATATAACACAATTATCTGCATTGATTGTATCTGATTATTCAAAAGTGTTTGATGAATTTATTGAATTAAAAAATGATATAAATTTCGAGGCTATTTTCAAAGAGAAGAGAGAACAAAAAGAATACATAGAATTTTGGAATTTAGTACCAGAAAAATACAAAACCCTACAAAAATATACCTACTTTTTGATGACAATGTTCATATCAACATATCTATGTGAAACTTCATATTCAAAAATGAAATATGCAAAGAATGTGTACAGAAATCGGCTTAATGATTCACATCTTGACGACTTGTTAAAAGTAGCATGCAGCAACTACAAACCAGATATAACCAAAATAGTGAAAAAACTATCTCAATATCAAAATTCATACTAATTTAGAATAAATATTTAATATAATTTTTTTTATAATACATTTTCAAATTTTATACAATATACATAATATAAAAATTTATTTTTAGTTTTTTTTTTTAAATTTCCGTTCCATTAATTTCGACTTGCGGCCCGTGTAATCATTTAAAATATTTTATGTGGCCCAAATAAAAAAAAAGGTTGAGTATGGCTGCCCTAGACTATCAAAGTCAACAATGCAGATTTTTAAGTTTTCGTTACGTAAATATTTACTTGAATGTTTCTGTTAAATATAATTCCATTAATAATACGTCTAGAGCTTAATTATGTATACCTTCATATTTCCTACAATTTAATTATTTTTCAACTGCTATCATTTATTGTCTTTGTTCATTTTAATTTATATTTAAATGTTGATTATATTATGTAACATGGTTGAAATATTTACAAGAATGATATAAATAATTAAATGTTATTGATGTAACTCAATCAAAGTTCAATAACGTTACATATTTTATATTTTGTGACGGTGGAAATGACTTTAAATCTATTTGAAACTTCTTCGTGCCATGGAAATAGGGATAATTATGACATTCAGATATCTTAAAGATCTCTTATTTTGATAAAATTAAAAAGGCAGTAAAAGGTGTGTATTTATATTAAAATATATTATGGTCATAAAATATAAATAAAAAAACTGTTTGATACATATAATTAGATAATTTTAGGTAATTAAAGTAACAAATCAAATCGAGGGAAACCAACGAAAAATTATTTGAATTTTGAGCACAACCCTTTCATATTTCATATTTTCATCGGGTACTAACGTAATGGGAAGTCGGACAATACTTACCTATCCGATGTTACGCACAATTAGAGGAGTCGACAGAAAACTAAAATATATAATATTTACGCTTAATTTTTAATTCGATTATTGATTCGTGGGAGTTATAATTTAAATAAACCGTTTATGCCTATACGTTTACTGTTTTTACTGCGGTCGGGTTCCACTTCAACGCCACGTGTGTCGGTGATATTTGGAGGAGTTCATTATTAATTATGATAATTGGTCCGATTGTGCGATTAATATATAATATATGTCCAGCGCAGATTGTGCCACACACACCGCACAATAATCCAAATCGTTAACAACAATTTTAGCTCGTACTCGATGTTATTATTTGTATATCGATTCGATGCAACAGACCGAATGATATGTTTTGATGACGTATTGATTATTACCGTCATCCCGAACATAAATGGAGTTTATAATTTAAGTATAGATACATTTTAACAATTAATAATATAAATATTCAATTCTAGTTAATCACTTAAATGTAGTACACCGCTCATGTCTGATTATATTGTATTTTAAATATTAATATAGCAATATAGTCATAACAACGTGTAAAAAAATTTTGAAATTTGTAGATTTGGACTTAATCGCATTACGTTTTTGGTAGATTATAATAATAATGTATCTTCAAGTAGCAGTGATATGAGGATTAAAAATGCAATGCTCATTTGATGAACCAAAATAACTTTATTAAAAAAAAAAAAAATTAATAATATAAAACATAAAATAAGACTAGATTTGCGAACATTTTTATTTTTATTCCTTAAGGTTGAGCTAAAAATATGAATTGTCAACAAAGTTATTCTATATCGATAGCTTAATATAAAACTTTACAAATGTTGCTGAATTTATATATATATATATATATATATATATAAATGTTTTTCATTGTATAGTGGTGGACCTAGGGAGGAATCCCCATTCTCCCTGTGGGAAACATTTTAGAGAACGTAATTTTTGTAGTAATGTATTAATGGCTAGTTTGATATTTTGACTTTGTTACTGATAATAGGATTAAAATTCAATAAGTATGATTGTACGACTATACTAATTATTAGAAAATAATTCCAGAGAAGAGTTTATGATTCTTGATCTATGGTATTTATGGTATTTTAAAATTTTTTCCGGGGCGTAAAATATTTAGTTCCGCCTCTGTCATTATGTTTAATTTATAATAATTATAATAATACATAATACATTTGTTTTAAAATCATGTATACATTTATCGAATAAATATTTTTAATACATGCGTTGTAATATAAATATATTTTACAATTATGTTAACAATCATATTTTTGTATAACACATAATATATTTTTTATGCATATATTTATTTATATGTACTCAATGATGGAAAATCATAAATAATAACATTACAAATTAATAACAAATAAATAATTTAAACAGGTTATATAATGTATAATGGAATCGCATGTAGCTCATATTACTTGAACGAAGTTCAAGAAATGATTTTAACTCGTCGGTTTATAAATAAAAAACACTTAATAACAATATAAATCTACTACAACCAAGACATTGTTTTAATAAGTATAATTGATTTATTTAATATATTACATAAGTACAGTAACTTATTGAATTAGTATTATTTTGTATTTTTTTTATTAATAAAAAATTATTAATAAAAAATGTCTTCGTAGCGGTTTTCGTGAACTTAGGCGTGATAATGAATTATTATTCATGGTGGATATTGTACAGCGAATACATTGTTGAAAAACGTATTGAATAACGTATGAAATTCTGTAGGAATCGAATTCGTTTGGATATATTTTTATCCCAAACTTTCGACAACCCCTGAAAAAATAAATGTTCTACGTGTCGACTTAAATTCCACGTGCAATTGATAAGATTATGCGAAACATAACAACCATATTCGTTACTATATTATAACATTAAGTATTTCATTTTATTTTCAACGTGAAATAAAATTTGATGTAAACGTAATACGATTTTTTTCTCTTCTACCGATCGTCGTTTACTTGCTAAGTATATATTTTTGGTTAAAAACAGATTGAGAACGATACAATTATCGAACCGAATTGAAAAGCGTTAACAAAAAACATCTATACGAACTTCCTTCTGGGCACTCGACTGGTATTATTCCCTTCTGATATAAGCGCTCCTTATGTTATTATTATTCTTTGGAATTGAATGTTTTATACGTTTACATTTATATAATAATATATTATGAAAAAAAACCAAATATATCAGATAATATTGGTATACAGCCGTGTCTTTGGTATTTTTTTTCCGCCAACACGAGTACATCATCCCCCGGAAGTATTATTGTACGGACGACGGTCGCGCGAACATTCGAAAGAAAGCGTAGCCGTCCACGTTAAGTCGAGTGGCCACGAGAACACACGCGGTCGATCAGACGATGACCGAATCGGTGGCACGGCCGCAGCTTACCGCGTTGGCCGTCGCCGTGGCCGAACATCAGCGGTGCTGCTGGTTACTGTTGTCCATGTGCAGGATCTTCTTGAACGAGCGCCGGAAGTCCATGTTGCACCGGGTGTAGATGATCGGGTTGACGGTGGAGTTAAGGTATCCGAGCCACGTGACCACGTTGACGAGCACCTTGGACGGCGGGCAGCACGACTTGCAGAACGGGAAAAACAGGTAGATGACGAAGAACGGCAGCCAGCTGACGACGAACACGCCCATGATGACGCCCAGCGTCTTGGCCGCCTTCCGCTCTTTGGACAGCGATATGCGCTGCTTGTGCTCCAGCAGCTGGTTGACGTGCTTGCCGACGGACGTGGCGGCTCTCGCTCGTGGCGGCGTCCCCCGGTGCTTGCTGCCGCCCTGGTGCTGCTGCTGCTGATGATGCGCCGCGGCCGTCCCGCCGCCGCCACCACCCGTGCTGGTGGCCGCGTCCACCTCGTCGCTGCTGCTGGCCGAGTCACCCGTCGCCTCGGCCGCGGCCACCTTCTTTTTGCCGCCGGCCGCCGTCCGTTTGGAAGCGTCGTGCGACAGCTGCGCTTGGCCACCACCACCGTGCGACATGGCCACCTGCTTGGCCCGGCGCCGCAACCGCCGCCGCGTGGCTATGTATATCCGCAGGTACGTGATGCTCATCACCATCAGCGGTATGTAGAACGAGCCCATGGACGAGTACACCACGTAGCCCGGGTGCGTGGTGAGCGCGCACGGCGTGCGCTCGTCGAACACGTCCGGCCAGTCGTTCCAGCCGATCAGCGGCGGCGAGCTGATCACCGCGCTGGCGATCCACACCAACGCCACCGTCCACATGACCCGGGACACCGTTCGTTTCTGCGCGTACGCGATCGGCTGCGTGATGGCCCGGTAACGGTCGAGCGCGATCGCGCACAGGTTCAGTATGGACGCGGTGCAGCACAGCACGTCGCACGTCAGCCACAGCTTGCACACCACGCCGCCGAACAGCCACACGCCCGTCACGTTGTACACCACGTTTAGCGGCAGCACGCCGATGGCCACCATCAGGTCGGCCACGGCCAGCGACACGATGAATATGTTCGGCACGGACCGCAGCGGCGGATACTGCACTACGCTCATGATCACCAGTATGTTGCCAAAAACCGTGGCCACGATCAGCACCGTAGCCACAGCGATCACCGTCACCAGCGCGACGGCCGTGCTGCTGCTGCCCGCCAGCGTCCCGTTCACTGGCGCCGCGCAAACGTCCGCCGTCGTCGTCGTCGCGGCCGATGCCCCACCGCCGTCCATCACCGTCGTCATCATCATCAACACCGCCGTGTCGTTTATCATCATTCTCCCGCCGCCGCCACCGCACTGGCCCTAGAACACAACCACAATTTACATTTTATTAGAAACAGTGACGAGCATCTGTGGATCCACTGTTGGAACCATTTAATACGAATTTTGGTTCCGGACAATTCGATCTGTCGATCCGGATATTTTTATTTTTTTTTCTACAGATCTCGGTTTATAGATTTTTCAAAACGGGTAATGATTAACGGTCTACTAGTGATTTATGTTTGAAATTATAGAAAAAATGTACCAGATTGTCTGTTAAATCGAATCAAATTGATTAAAGTGTTAATTTCAATCCGAATGGATCAGCACTTGTATAATTTCAAATCTCAGTTCGAAAAAATGGAACGCTAGAATTAAGTGTTAACGAATTATGATATTGTATTATCTTATAGTACAATCCCTTTTCAATTATTTATTTGCGTAGTATAATAAGTTTTTACCGATTACTTCAACAGTAAGATCAGCTATTAACTGCGGTTACTGAGCGACCGTGTATTCTATTAAAACGGTAATGGACGCCATAACGTTTTATTTTCTTCAACGTTTTTAATCAAATTACCTTCAAAACAAATTGCGTTTACATCTTTATCATATTGAAAATAATACCTCAAAAGTGTATTACATAAGTGAACAAAAAAAAAAAAAAATAAAATAGAAAAATAAATTACATAAGCATGCGAAATCTGTACTCAGTAGATAACAGTACTTTTTTGATACATTGGACGAGATTAATCTATATAAATATATTTTTAAGTATTTTGAAATCCATACCATAAACATATTATACTTGTTTTATATTCCAATCTAAATACTAATGTTAATTTCTTTTCATTTTATTAAGTTCAACTATTGATAATTTGGATTTTTATTGCTCGTACGTTTAAATAAAAACTTAGCTATTTATATTTAAATGATTAATCGATTTAATTTAAAAATTACATTTTATTTTAAAAATGACATACAATCTACTAGATACTAGAAAATGCATGAGATTTAAGTAAATTGTATTATTTTTGTTTAATTATAAACTAACTAACCGAAAAGTGTAATGAAAAATTATTAATATATTCATAAATGTTGTTAATTTAAATAGATAACAACACCGATTTGCCACCGAATAATATTTAATATTACTTTTTTGTTTGTAAAAATATCAGTGTTTAGGTATAATTTTTATTCTTTTATCTTACGCAAGGCAACATTGTAGATGTAATCCTTATGTATAATTTATTGTGCGATAAAGCAGTTTATTTAACATTTATCACACTATACTATTACCTTTAATCAAATTAACTATAACTAAAAATAAGAACGACAGTTAAATTATGGTAAAGATTACCGAATTCATATCTTTAAATATAATATTAGTTTCATGTTATTTTATCTTTGGAATATATTGTGTTTTGAGCCTTGGGAGATAGAACTCATCGCTCCAGAAAATTGAAACTTTATATGTTTACAAAAAATAATAAAAACATTTAAAATATTGTGTTGTGTGACACGTGCTTTAATTTATGCTTAAATTCAAATTTACATGCTAACGCAAACAATGAATAATATATTTTACCATTGATCGTTATATATTCAAGTGTATATGGTTATTGTGGTGAATATATTTCTATATTTAGCTATGCACGACTGAAGCATATAAATCTCAGCGCGATACTTCGTTCACAATCTCATTTTGTTTATCGCCGACGTAGTTTGACGGTGGAACTGTAGATTGAGGTTTTACTTTGACTGGTGGAGGGCTAAACACCTCTAAGAGATCGTCGTTCACGGGGAAGTAGAAAAACGGTTTGGTGACACAAATATTTTGCTTTTCCTTATATTCGCATCCTGTTTGGCTGAAGGGAGAAGACGACTAATTCTGTTAAGATAAATCGTGTGATTTCATGAGAGTCATGACGGACGGACTCGTGATAACACGTGAACATAATTAAGTAATAATTAAACCTATATTGATTGTGTGCGTGGTATAACAAACTTGCGTAGGTACTCAATGGCGGAAAGTACACATCTGAACTAATAATTTGATGTACTCGTAACACTCTTATTAATTATCTTTTGTATTTCATTCTATTTTCAATGCAAGTACCATTTCTATTGGTTATTTTGAATTTTTTATCTTTTATTATTATTATTTTTTTTTTTTTACAAATATATTTATATAATATTTAATTTGTTAATAAAAAAATTGCAAATTTTGATAAATATTCTCACTCTACGTTAAGAGGTATTACTTCAGTGTAAAGCTAGTGAATTTAAATTAATTATATATTCTATTTTGTGTAGATTTCTATTTTCTAGCAGTAAATTATTCTATCCATTGATTCATTCATATTATTCGTATTAAGTTTTAATGGTGTAAGAAAATGAAAGACGAGTTAAAATAATTGGCAACCGATGATAACTATTAATTAAATTTCATTCTTCCAGAAATTAATTTGTAAAAATATGTTTTCCTATTTTAAAACATAATAAATTAGTTTTTGAAAGTAAAATGAAATAAATGAATTATTGCACATAATTTATGATAATAATTATCCTATCAAGTATAGCAGTAGGATTAATAGGATATTAATTGAAATTCTTCTAGAAATAAGTAGTACTCGTGCTACTGCAATTATGTTAAACTTGACATTTACGCATAAACAAATTCAACTACCTATGTTTAATTGCAATTTGTAAAGGTACATTGAATTTAACTAAAATTCAAGTATGTAAATTATGCGCATAAACTTATTTTATTATTGCATTTTAAATATTTTTTATTGTAATAAGTTTTAAATGCCAGTAAGAACTAATTCAATTTTAGTAAATTTTTTTGTCATAACAATTAAATATTTATATATAATATAAATTAACAAACATATTTTTATTATTCTAAATTTACAAAGAGTAATTAATTTATCATATTTAGTTAAATATATTTAATATTTGAATAGTTAATTTCATTATAAAAAAAAAATATATTATTGCATATTATACATTTCATTATTATTCGAATTAATTTAAAAATAATTAGAAAATATGAATCGTATTCAAAATACTTTAAATACACTTTAATTTGATTACAATTTTGCAGACTATACAGTTATATACTACAATGTTTTAGTAAATGTTAAAATTGCTTCTCAACCAAAGTATTTGTATTTCCAATTTTTATTTTTTATGATTAAACTATTTAAATTTTTAAAAATAATTGAATTTATACATAAATAAACCATAAAACTTATAAAGTTCACGATTAAAATATAAATTACTACTTTTTCTCCCATAATATTATGCATTGCACAACTAAACTAATTTTGAAGTATTTTTCTTAAGCTAAATATTTTTTTTTGTTTTTTATATAAAAATGAAAACTAAAAATTCAATTCTAAAATGAATGAAAGTTTGGGCACTTTTATATTATACAAAGAAAAATAACAATTAAAGTTAAATCGTTTAGGAAAACTATGAATAAGTCAATGTTTTTCTTGGAAATATAAAGAATAACGAGTTAGAAAATACTGTAATTTATTAAAGTTTTTACTTATAAAATTATTAAAAATCACTTGTATTTTACGTAGGCTACTTTTGATTTGACTCGATGTATGGTTTGATAAAAAATTGATGTTAATCAAGCGAAAATTATCTACTCATCTGTGCGATATTCTAATATGTCGTGTGGATATCAGAACTTATGAGTGGCTTATAAGTTTTATATTAAAACGACTACTGAGTGAAGTAACTATACGATTAATTTTATTTCTAAAAGTGACACTGTCCGCGTAAAGCATTAAAAAATATACACACGGTTTACTATGCAGATTTTTGAATGTCAAGTAAAATCAATTGGTTATTAAATAGTTTATTTATAATTTATCAATTAAATAATTGTTTTAATGAATAACTATCAGTGCATCGGGATGATTGACGAAGGTGCGACACATTTATTACTGTGTAAATAATAACACATTACTATTCAATCGGATAAACGATTTACAATAAGTTCACTGTCAATTATTTACTCGTGGATAGTATAATTTACGTATTATATATATGTATACTATATACTAGTGCCAAATATTTATTTCATAACTGCGGAATTAGCTTTAAGATATATTTGTTCGGTAATGCAAATCGAATACTTTCTAACATTGACATATTTTCAATGCCAAGTTGAACGCATTAATAAGATGCGAGTATTGACAACGGGTAATTCCATCAGTTTCTATGCATCATACTATTTTATTGTATTAATAATGTTACTTTTTGTCAATATTACCACCAGACCGTAAATAATTACGAATAAAGACAAGAAAATTAAAAGATGAACATTATTTTAATAACATCGCTTTTAAAATTTTGAAGTTAATTATTGCTTTCAATTTAGTATTATTTTCACCTCTGTTGAAATAAATTAGTTGAAAATAAATTATTTATTATAACTACATAAAATTAGCAACTTGCTGATGTTCTTTCCTATATTACTTTTTACTGTATTTTGCAAAGGTCTAATTTGTTTATGCTATCAAATTATAACATTGTGCTGAAGGCAACATGGCTGTTTCTTCGATTACACGTATTGTAGTTAATTAATTCTAGCATTTCGTTTTAATGTTTTTCTATTAAAATATGAAATTTTAGTACGTCTTACCATATACATGATCAGCTGCAATAGCATTTTATTTGGAATTTCAAATTTGGTATTATCCGATTCGAAATATAATATTATCCTCGTGAGCAGAATATTGAAAAATTAAAATCTGGTGTAGGTCACGAAAATAGCACATTAAATATGAAATCATTCTTGTGAATTTACGGGGTCGACAATTAGCGTGATTGATCATAATATTTATTAAATAACTTTTCGGATCCGCTATGTACACTGAATTTATTCCCAGTTGACTTATATTCAAATGCAAGGACAGTACAGCTGATTGACAACGCTTTATAAATTGCAAAGGTTCAAAACAGCGATGTGGTACGTACGAGTTATCATGTGTGTGTGCGCGCCATAAATTAAAACATATTATTTATCTACCAAACCTTTTAAAACGATCCAGTCGCGGTTTGCCCAAAAAATCAATAGATGCATTCCCGCATGTCGTCGTTCAAAGTGTTGTACCTATAGCGACTGCAATTTTAACCTAATGGGTGGTCTGGTACTCTTTTACTTTAACGATAACCAATAGATTTGCAGTTATGTTATTAATTTACTATATAGGACCCATATATTATACGAAAATATCTAATTTTTAATTTCGAACAAATGCAATTGGATTATAAATTTATATCAAATACATAACACAGTTCGTGTTCAACGTTCGACCGTTCAACACGTGTGTTCTCCTATAGTATCGCATTTATAGCTATCGATAGCAGTAACACACCAGTCTGTTTTAAAACTCAGCGTTGCAGGTAATATGATTATAATTATTGCCTTAATTACACCAATTAAATAGATATCCCAAACCTATTACGATGGGCGATAAGCCCACTACCATAACCATCATATCTGACGATATGAACAACATAAACAGTGCTTTCCAACATATACGTAATACTGCAACATTTGCCGATATAGCCTCCAATGTTACATTACCAAAAATGAACCAAGTAATCGTTTTTAACTCTATTAACAACATCAAACAAATCGAATACGTTATCGCAATTAGTAAAATTATACCCGCAGAAAATATTCAATTTGTATCACGCTTTTCAAATAATCGATTCTACATATTCTTCAATAGTCAAGCCATCATGGAAAATCTACTCAGAACTCACCCTTCAGTTCATGTCAATGATACAGAAATCCCCATCCGTAGACTTATAAATGCGTCCAAAAGAATTATTCTATCCAATGTTTACCCTACTATTCCAAATCACCTTATACTAAACGCTCTCCATGAAATAGGAATTAAAACCACTTTCCATATCTCTAATATGAAAGTTGGTTTTGCAACAGAACAATTCGCGCATATACTTAGTTTCAGAAGACAAGTATACATTAATCAAGACAGTGTATCCAAACTACCTAATTCAATCACAGTAACATTAGAAAACACTACCTTTAGAATATTTATTATCGATGACACTGTAATTTGTAATCAATGTCATAAAACCGGTCATTTTTCAAGCCAATGTAAAAATATACCTGAACAATTCAATATCATCGATATGACCGAAACCAACATGGAAGAAACCAATGATGAACTATCACCAACCCCAAATGTAGAAAAAAATGTATCTCTCTCGCCACCTGCTAGTGTTAATGCTCAAAATAACGTTCCTTTAACACCAAACCAAGCAAATGATTATGGTGATCTAACCACTATTGATCAACCCAAAAAACACTCGCTAGCCGAAAAATTCAAATCGTCATCCAAAAAAATTGTCTAAGTACTCGTAACTTCTCCAAACCCAGTTAAACGTCCTGCCCTGTCAACCACGTTTCAACCACCATCTCCAAAATCTTCGCACTCATTCAACCCGTCTTTAACAATGAAGCTTCCCAACGCACCTGAAGGAAAAACCCTAATGGAAATGTACACAAAAAACCGAAAGTTAGAACCAGCACCAGTTCAAATGATAGCTTCTATTCAAATATCGATGTAGGGTTAAATCCAACCAAAGATCTGTTCAACTCCAACCCTCAAATGTCCTTATCACTCAATCAGTTTAAAGATTTCTTCGAAAACTCGCAAGGTTGCACTGATCTCGAGAGTTTATGTATGGAGCACAATAGCAGTTCAGAAAATATAATCCAAATCATTACAAACATCTACCCTGTCGTAACAATTAAAAGTATTAAAAACCGTCTAACCAGATTATCAAAAGCACTCGAAAAATTTCGAAACCTAAATTCTAGTCAGACTTTCTATGCTGACAGCAATGATGACGAAACCTACTAGCTTGTTCGTTATCCATTCACCTACTACATACCAAATAAACTAAATATCAAACCTATCATGATAATTAATAACAGTCTTAAAATACTTCAATGGAATCCAAATGGATTCTACTCCAAATTAGACGAAATCAATTTACTATTAAACAAATACTGTCCAATCTCAATATGTCTACAAGAAACTAATTTTATCAACGACAAGGTCTGCTCCCTAAACAATTACACAACATACTACAAAAATAGAACCAATGCTGGCAGAGTCAGTGGTGGTGTAGCAATCTATGTAAATTCAAATTATCACTCCGAAGAAATTATCATTAATACCAATCTAGAAGTGATCGCAGTAAATGTTTTAATCAAAAATTCAATAACAATCTGCAATTTATATCTACCAAACTATCAAAATTTTGAGCAATCCGATATTCAAAACATTATTAATCAACTCCCCTCCCCTTATATTATCTTAGGAGACTTCAACAGCCACAGTCCTTTGTGGGGCTGCTCCACTCTAGACTCACGAGGATCAAAAATCGAGCAAACACTATACAGCAACAATGACCTCAATATACTTAACAGTGGCCAAGCTACAAGAGTTAGCGTAAGCACGGGACACTTTACAATCATCGACCTTTCATTCTCATCAGCTACAATCACTCCCTACATATATTGGGATGTCATACCAGAATTATCAAGCAGTGACCACTTTCCTATCATTATGACGCTAAATCACACAAACTCCCATAATCATTATACAAGAAAACAAAAATGGAAATTAAAAAATGTCGACTGGAATTTATATTAAACGGAAATTGATAAAAATATTGATTCAACTTCTTGGACTTATACTAATAATGTAGAAGATTAGATAAAACTGTTCACCGACCTCATTATAAATACAGCCTCTGGCGTTTTCGAATTAACTAGTTGCTCTGGAAAGAGACCTCCAGTCCCTTGGTAGAATAAAACAATTAAACAAGCTATACGGAAAAAAAAGACTGCCTTTAACAGATACAAACGAACTTGAGACCTACAAGATTTTATACAATTTAAAAAAAACAAAGCGCTAGTCAGATACCTTATAAAAAGTGAAAAAAAAAAGTCATGAATAAATTTTACATCTAGTTTAAACAGTCATATTTCCCCAACCATAACGTGGAATAAAATTAAAACATTAAAAGGAGTCCCTTTTACACAAATTAAAACACTGTTGGTAGGGTAAACCATTTTTACAGATCCTAAAGAGATAACCAACCAAATAGGACAGTTTTTTTACTCTAACAGTAGTAACACTAGTTTGAATCCAGACTTTTTGAAATTTAAAGAAACGAAAGAATTGATTACCTTACCGAGCCCCACAACAACAACAAGTCAAGGTTCAATTCTTAACGATCCTATCACAATGTCAGAACTTAACTCTAGTCTTGAAGGAAAAATAAGTAACAGTTGTGGACCAGACAACATACAGTTTTTATTTTTCCAGAACATCTCCATTAAAGATAAAATCCTACTCCTTGAATTGTATAACAATGTTTGGTCGTCCGGTATTATACCATCGTTATGGAAAAATGCTATAAAAAATGCATTACCCCTATTCCTAAGAAAGTGCAAGACAAACATAAACCTTCAGGATATCGTTCTATTTCTGTCTTATGTAACCTGAGCAAAACACTTGAAAAAATAATTTTTAACAGGCTTAATTGGTATGTACAAAGATTCAATTTGTTATCTCCAAACCAGCACGGATTTAGGAAATCGCATTCCACTTCTGATTGCTATGTTAAAATTGAAACAGAAATACTAGAATCTTATGCCAACAAACAAACCATGATTATTATTAGTCTAGACCTTCAGAAAGCTTATGACACAGTCTGGCGACATAGAGTCTTAAATATACTGAGGAATTGGTACATTAATGGGCAAATGTTACAATTTATAACAAGTTTTCTTAAAGAACGTTCTTTCCAAGTAAGAATTAATGAACACATGTCAGATAAATTTGATCTCAAGAACGGAGTCCCACAAGGTTCCCCCCTGAGCATTCTACTTTTTCAAGCTGCAATCAACAACCTACCTGATGAAATTTCACATCCTGTCAAATTAATTATGTTTGCCGATGACACACATATTTATCTCAAAGGAAAAAACATTAAATCAATGACACGTCAACTCCAAGATTGCCTAAATGATCTGTCCAAGTGGTGCTTTCACTCAGGTTTTATTTTCTCACCAGAAAAAACCAAATGTATAATGTTTACCAAAAAGAAACAAAGTTCAAAACCAAAGTTATTTTTGGGAAATACACCCTTACCCTTTGTAAACAACATAAAAATTCTAGGTTTGATTTTTGATAGCAAGCTTACTTGGAAACCTCATATAAGTAAGACCAAAACAACTACAACCAAAAGTATCAATATCATAAAAACGTCGAGCCACGCTGAATGGGGAGCTGAAATTAATATATTAATCAAATTATATAGATCTCTCGTTAGGTCCAAATTAGACTATGGATCCATCTGCTATACCAATGCAAACCCCAATATTCTTAAAACAATTGATATAATTCACAACAGCGGTCTAAGAGTTGCAGCTGGAGCATTTCGAAGCAGCCCTATTCCAAGTATATTATCTATCTCTGGAGAACCACCCCTTCACGTTCGTAGAATCAAATTAGCTCTAAATTATATTTCTCGCATCCTATCCTCCCCAAAAAACTCAACATTACCATTTTTAACACAAAATCGTTTTGCAAATACATTTTGTTCCAATCTCAATCTAAAAAAACCACTGGATTTAAGGATGTTATATGAAATTTCACACAACAATATTGATCCAAATTTAATTATCAAACGAGAATGCAGTGTGGTACCTCCTTGGAGGGTTCCAACATTTCTTGTGAACACCAGTCTAGCGGACCATAGTAAAAAAGAAACGTTAAATGTTATATATAAAAATTTATTCAATGAAATCATGGACTCTTTTCCATCTAAATCACAAATCTATACAGATGCCTCCAAAATAAACTCAGGTGTTGCGATCGCTATCATAAACGGAGAGCAATCCATATCGTACAAATTACCAGACCATAACAGTATATATACGGCGGAATATTTTGCACTCCTGGAAGGAGTCCACCTAGCCATTCAACTACCCGATTCCACCATTAACATTTGTACAGATTCGCTCAGCGCCCTAAACAATCTGAAATATAATTTACACTCAAGCATCCTAGCAATCATAATAAGCAACATCATTGAAAAAGCCAACAAGAACATACGGTTCATATGGACACCTGGCCATTGTGGAATTGATGGCAACGAGAAAGCTGACAAAGTAGCTCGTGAAGCAGTAAATAACCCTCTGACCGAAATACGCACGTACTCCTCACTCATCGACATCCATAGGTATGTCAACACCTATTGTACCGATTTATGGGAATCTGAATGGCGTCGTACACCCAGTAACAAACTGAGAAAAATAAAAAACACTACCGAATACTGGCCTAAACCTCATACATCAAATCGCAAAGATGAAGTTGCTATCAATAGATTACGTATAGGTCACTCAAAGATGTCCCATGGACATCTTATGCACAGAGAAGAACCAGCAATGTGCCTAACCTGCAGAGAACCTCTCACAGTCAAGCACCTCCTTATCCACTGCCGTATCCATATAGATACCAGAAAAAGTCTAAAATTGCCCGACAACCTTTTTGAAGCCCTCAGCCCTATCCATGACAACACCAAAAAAACAATCATATTTTTAAAACAAATTGATATGTATAATTTAATTTAAGAATTTATTGTATAACTATACTCTATTATGTACTAATTACCAATTTTTGTTGCAAGCTAATAACCTTAGTAGTTGATGCTGTACCATGAATAAAAAAAAAAAAATACATAACAATGATAATATGTCTTAGGGTACTTAGCTAGAGAAGTTTGTAATTCATTACAGGTATAATATTATACGAAGCATTTGACACCTGTGTGAGTGTCTATAAACATGGTATACATAATATGTATAATATTATTATACATATATCCATTACGATTAATACTAATGAATGCGGTTGTATGATTGTAGATTTGTGCAGTGAATCCTAATGGATTAGTTTTGACATAAGGACCACCAAAGCTCAAGTACGAAAGCTTATTTTCTTACTTTGAAAATACTAGTGCAGACATTTTCAGTACACCAAATGTAAAAATATAAATTAAGAATAACTCAGACGCGGTGAAATCACTTAAGTCCTACCAGATAGACCCACGTGAGGAGTGCACATATACACAGTTACATGATAAATTAGTCGCATAGTAAAATTATAATATATAGACCTCGTGTTTTGTACAGTAACCTATTATGGAGGAGTAACTTACCATTTTTGGAAGTTTTTAAATTTTGATTAAATGTTAAACTGTGGATTAATCGATATTGTGTATACACATTTAAAATAAAAAACAAAAACAATTATAGCCAGATTAAAAAATTTTATTGAAATATAATTGGGTAAGATACGAAATGTATCGGATTAGGCTTCGATGAGACTTGAAGACGCGAAATTGTTTTAAACATTACAATGAAACGGAAACAATTATTTCATGTGGAAGATCAATTTCCGTTGTGCAAACTCTGGTGCTAAATAGAAATTGCATTCATTGATACAATTTATTCTCACACAAAGTTCAATTTGGATAACGGAATAACGGTAATAATAATATGATGATCAATGTTGTATTATTGTATTATATGTTATAAGATGAATTATACGACGTTTAAAAATACCATCAATAAGACTTTTTCATTAACGACGTACACATAGAAAAAGAAAACTCCGAAATCGATAAATCAGATTTTATAGTGGCATTTCCAGACGACCACACGTACTGCAGATTTACTAAAGAATTCGAAACGAATATTTAACATAAAACAGTTCGATTAAATTAGGCAAGTAAGGCGTGTGTTAAAGAATTACATTTTGAGAGGGTTTTTTAAATTGACATAATATGAATGACGAACGGATTTCGATAGTCTATTAAATCGCTTTACAATTTATCCAAGTGAATTGATGGAATAAACGTATTTTGTGAATACAATTTAATAATCGCATTGCACTAATATTGTTTATCCTAAAGGTCGCTCCACACTATGCATGTTTCGCGTTTTGAGTTTTGAGTTTCGCGTTTCATAGTGATTCGTAGCGTTTCGTAGTGTTTCGTAGAAAAGGTATACACACTATGCATGTTTCGCGTTTCGCGTTTCGTGTTTCATAGTGGTTAGTACGAAAAGTACGAAAAATATTTTCGTGTCCTTTGATTTCGTCAATTTTACCGCCTCGTTCGCGAAACACTACGAAACCATTTTACGAAAACATTTTCGTGAAAAAGCTATACACTATTCACGAAATTCAACGAAAACGTGAAAACATGAAATGCGAAACGCGAAACATACATAGTGTGGAGCGACCTTAAGGGAAAACATTGCCATGTCGCTTTCCGACAAATAATAAACCTTAGTATAACAGATAACGTTTCGTTTGACAGAAGATTCAGCATAACAAAAAAATCACACGTTAACGTTTGTACGTTATTATCGAGAAATTATAAAAAATATATTGCAATATTTGAATAAAATAAAGAAGCATGACTTCAGAAATACACGATATAACATGTGATGTTATTTTATCGCTTCAGAAAATTGGTTAGACTTAATTTTGGTTCATTTATAAAATAATGTAAGGAACTCTTGCACTGAGCGTTATTCCTAACAATTATATGTTAAGGGTTCATTGATAACGACAATTACAATTACTAAACGATTTAGAGTTTTGCGTGTAACGAAACTGTCACTTAATTCCTCAAAATTAGTAATCAAGTAAAAAAATAGAAGAAAACATTTTTAATCGCAACTGGATTTGTTCAATTATAATAACTAAGGTGTAATTCCTTAGAATGCGTCTTAAAACGCACGGCTGATAGAGAATTCTGTAAAACTACAAAACGCATCGCAATAGACACGAAGTACATAATATGTATTTTATGGAACATATTATGTTTATTTTAGATATTCAAGTCAATACGTCGTTTTACTGTTGATCACAAGTGTTTGATTACAATTATATTTGTTGTAATTGTTATAAATTTTCGTTCATAGATTATTATTATATAATTGTAATGATGCATCAGTAGAAGAGAAAAAATGTTGATAAACCTTCAATTAGAAGAATATAACGAATATGTTACAGCAAAAATAATGAACGATATGTTTTTAATCAGAAAATACGAGGGATTTTTTAGTACATTGGTTGAGAAGAATTTTCGTAGATATGAAAAAAAATTCAGAGAATTTTTCAGATTGAGTTGGTATTAATTTAATTATGTTTTAAATTTAATCGGAAACGATTTAAAATCAAATTTTCACAATATTCGAAGACATTTTAATATTTATTTTATATAGTAATAATAATACAATTTACGAGTACTCGGCAGCGTCTTGATTGCCTCTGGGACGGTTATCACCAAGGAGTGGTCTAGGGAATCAGGTGCATATCAAAGTAGAAAATAGCAAAAGTTGTACCAACGCTTTCAAATTTAGAACTTGCGTAAGCCGTTGGTCACGCGTCTCTAGACACGCTGTCTAAGAAATGTTCTAAGGCAATGGTGTGCAACATTTTCTTGATCTAGGATTCTCAAATGAATTTATTTCGATGACTCTTATTCCTACTAACAATATATTGTAAAACAATACAATTTTAATATTTATTTAATTAAATTAATCCAAATCATAAAAAAAAAAAAAAAATAATACAAAATTATAGTTTCATAAAATCTAAATATAATGTTATATAATGTACTTAATATATAACTTTTTAATTTGGTGTTAAATTATTGTCGACCATCTCAAGTAATCGTTAGGATTTAATTTTGCCATAGGTTGTGCGCCACAGTTAGTATTGAAATTTTTGTAAGAAAAAAAAATGTTAGTTTTGGATGGTTTTATGTTCATTTAAAACTATTTTAATGAATTGGAGAATCCACCGTGACTTGATAAAATTAAATAATATATTCAACAATATATAAACTTAAAAGTCAGGTAACTTAATTATGCTTAGGTTACGTGACTTTTTCTTATATCAAGAGTTACATGATGCACATAATACGTGACTATAATTTCGAATGGAAAATATTGTAATATGTCTACTAGATAAAACTTTGTGCCCAATTATATTGACGCTTTTCTTCCGAAAGTACATTGTAAGGTCATGAGGAGAGGGTAAGTAGTATTTCCACCGGGAAGTGTATCATTGCAATCAAAATTATAGTATTGCGCGGTGTAAGACGTCGAAGTTCGTCTACTATATCTATGTAAACTTTTTTATTGCATAGGGGTTTTGTAAAAATGTATTAATCATAACTTTTCGATTTTAATTGGTTCAATAAAAATATTTGTCGAAACAATTCTAAACTATTGCTAAAATTTGTTTATTTTGATTTGTACTAAAATGCGATGATTAGGCATCGTCACTAGCCTCATCTTACTATAAAATAAGTAAGTTTACTTATCGAAAAGGTCAATATTAAGCCTTACCTTAGTAAATATTGTATAATAAATTCACTTTCGGCTTCAGACTGAGGTTCATCAAAAGATCAAAATACTTATATTTTTTTTTTATTAATTATTTACATATTATGTGAATAATTTTCTGTTTAAATGCATGTTAAATGCATTTATTAATACGAAAAAAAAAGGTATATATTTATATTTTGTCATAACTAAAATATTAAATTCCTGTTAAAACTTCAAACAAAAAAAAATTATATTTTTTTACATTTAGAATATATCGAAAATTCTTTAAATTAAATTTTATGGTTTTAAAATTAAAATATGTATTTTATTATAATATAATTAAATTTTAAATATTCACTGCTTGATAGAAACTCAAATTTATTGAACAATTAAACTTTTTATTCTTTTATCATTTTGTGATAAATTTTAATTATTAATTTGAATTCTAGTTGCTTACACGTGATAATTTTTTGTAGAAATTGTGTTTAAAATTGTATAAACTAAACACACAAACAACGATTAAAATATACCGAAGGATCATAATAAAATAAATATATTTTAATAATTTAAAATCTCCAGGATTATTGAGCTCCGTGATTAAGTGCCTTTATTGTAAAAAAATATGCAATTAAATTAATTGAAAATAGCTATTTACTTCTGTGATGTATTTTTATAGCATTCCTATTTGGTAAAATTTTTACATTTTCAGAAAAGGAATAAAAATTTATTATGAAAACACTTACTTTTTTTTATTTAAAAAAGGATTTACATATACGCATATATGTATATAAAATGGGGACAAGAAAGGAAAAGAATTCAGAATCATTGTAATCGGATTTATCCTTTTATATAAGAATTTTGAAATAGAATATATACTGCAAAATTATATGGTTATTGTTCAATAATTTTTATTATTCCATAGCGTCAGTGTTAATCCGATGGCTTAAATTTGAATGTAAACATATATTTGCGTTAAAAAAAGTTTTATTAGCAGAAAACTGAAATGGAAATATACGATGTTTATAAGATGACTTTCAAATTTTAAAAAATACAGAAAAAAAGTTAAAAACAAAGCTTATAATATTTTAATTTGATACATTCGGAGCATAGGTAAATTGGACTTTTCATTTGAATTTCATTTTGAAACCTTTCATCTAAAGTTGATGTTTATTTTAAAATATTTCAACCTAAAATTTATTAGTATAACTTATATCTTATATCTTTAAATAATGAAAAAATGAACAAATATTGTACCAGTATATTTAGTAATAACTTTTTCATTTTAAAGCTTTTTATATTTTGTAACTTGTAGCACATTCACTATATTTTCAACAGAATAGTGCAAAAAAACAATTACATTAGAAAATTTAATTGTTAAAAAAATATATCCAAAATAAAAAATTTAAATGTGTACTTCTGAAGAATATTTATTACCAAATTATCCACTTTTTATTTCATTTTTCTGAACGATGGCTTACGAAAAAAAAATCAATGCATGAATACCTATTACAATTGTAGTTTATCATTTTTATTAATTGTATTACTTTTATATTAAATTATACTATTTACCAGTATTGAGTAGTAACGTAACGGAAAGTAACGCGTTACTTTTATGATAATGCACTACTTAATTTCATTAGAATTTTTACCGTGTAACCAAAATGTAATGGGAACTATTTTATATGAGTATTTTTTCTGATATCATGTGCTATAAATATGTCTATAATCCAACATATTTTTCAACAAAAACATTTTGGTTCCATAATATATTTAAGATATATAGGTAAAATTATATATTGATAAATGTATGTTTTCAATTTTAACTTGTTATTAAGTAAGATACTTTATTTTTGAAAAGTAAAGTAACTTCATTACATTTAAATAATGGGTAACGAGTAAAGTAAATTATTCATTTTTTAAATTAATCAGTCCAACACTGATATCTACATATTATTTCATTCATTTTTACACAAATATTTTGACTGTGAAATTATTAAAAAATAATATTTATTTCATTCTTTTATTCTTAAATAAAAGGATAAATGGAATTGTTAACTCTCCACCAGCTAGCGCGGTGGTCGTCCCATCCGGGTACGGTGCTTGGCGAACTGGTTGGGTAGAGGCATTGTTCGGCAACCTGTACAGTATGTAAGGTGTGCGTATGGACAGCCAGTGTGGCGTTTAATTTATATTTTGTTTGTCATAATAAATGTATTTTAATTATTCATTTAAATATACTGTTTTTATTAATACCGTGAGTTTGCGACTGAGAAGTTAACAGAGTATTGTTTATTTACAGTAGTAGTACTTCAAGAATGAGTGGAAAATGTTAAGAAGGGACACGGAAGAATTATATTAAATAGTGTAAGTTGTTACGAAATTAGATTTTTAGATATCAACAAATTATGTTTATTACACAGGAATTAAGAATATAGTTTTATGAAAAATGTCATAATTAATAAATTAAGAATTCAAATTTCGCTTATTAAAAATACTTAATTTCATAGTTCATTATATTTTTTTTTTTATTATCTTACCAATAATTTCTTAAATTTGTTCATTTTTTTAAAAAAAAAAAATGTATTAGAGCTATTGAACATTGCAGCTGACTTTGATAATTAAAATATCAATTTTTAATAAAGCAACTTATATATAATATATACAATATGATATGGAAAACATGGATATAGACATGATCAAAGGACAGAACGACCCAATAGTGTGTCCCGAATTTCAGAACATTCGTACCTTTATCAGAGATGTAATTAAATTATTTCTCGTCTCAATAAAAAATTAATTTTAATGAGTTATTTATATTAAATATAACGAAAATTAAATTACGATTTATTCCTGGGCATCAGTTGTTCCTATCAAGAAACTTGATTTTAGTTTCCACCAAGTATTAATTCCGCCAAAACGAAAAAGGTTGGATTTTCATTTCCGCCAAGTCTATTTCTACATAATTATGTAAATTAGAGTTTGAGAACCATTTATAGCTAACCAGTAAGTACCACGAGGAGACCGTTCTCATTGACCCTCAAATAATTGTTTGACCTAATTATCAAATGAGAGTTAAAAAATTCGAATTTGAATTAAATTTAATTGGTTTTAATTTATATACATAAACAGTAAAATATTTCTGACAATTATATAGATTAATTTGAATAATTGTTGCATAGCATTTTTAAAAATGCCATCTTTAAATATTTTTATTTTTGTATTAATCTATCGCATTTTTTCTATTAAATCTTTCAGGTTTTTTTATACCTAAATTACCACTATTAATTTGAATGTATACGCTGTTTTGAAAAATCGAAGTTGAAATTTTTAAAAATTTAACATGGTATAGATAATATCGATATATATATATATATTTATAATAGGTAGGAATTATTACACGTGAAATCAGTTATATCTTCAGTATATCAAATGATTTATCTCGAATCCTGAGATACATCGATGATCGATAGCACTGTATATAGACAGAGGTTCTCAGACTCCATCTCAATAATATAGGTCGATATAGATTTGGCGGAAATGAAAATCGTACTATTTTCGTTTTGGCGGAAACGATACTGGCAGAAACGAAAATTACATTTTTGGCGGAAACGATGACCGACTTCATTCCTAACTATAATAACATCATATTTTATTAAGTGTTAAAAGTGGCAATGATATTACAATATTGGCATTGAGTTTTATTCGTTTGAACGTGTATTTTACGATATCATTTTTTTATACTTAATATAATAAATTTGAATACAATAAATAGTATGTGTCTTGCATACACCTTTGCATAATTTAATTAATTAAATCAAAAATGATTAAGTTAATTCTGTTTAAAAAAAAAAATGTGATCAGTAAGTTTTCACTCATTAATATGATTGAATTGTATATACGTAACCTTATTTAATGTTTGTGCGAGAACAAAAGCTGAAAGTGTACAAAATATATTTTTTTAAATAAACCTTAACTAATATCATCACCAAACGACAAAAATGAGTAATGATATTTTTTCACAATACTTTTATAAATTGAATGACATAATATAAGGCGATCGTATTGTTTATTGTATGAGCATAATCTAATTTAACTTACACAAATAATTATATTTATTTATAGTTATGAAAATTAATTATTTCATAATATAGGTTACTTTGTATACGTATTTTAAATTAAATAGGTACCTATTGTCTTCATTAATTTCTATATTTCTTATCATTGTGTTTAAGTTCAATATAAATAGATTAATATTGAGTATTATATGTTTATTGTTAATGGATATATTTTAATTTGTACCTCTTTGTCGTTTTATTTCTTTATTTCTTTATTTTTATTTTTTATTTAAATATTGTATAGTTATAGGTCCAAAATGACATTTTGTCGAAGGATTTATTTGATTATAAGAATTTGGTCACATGTCAATGTGACCAAAATGTAATCAGTCACATGTCAGTACTTAATACATTTATAGTATATACTTGTAGCCCATATAACACGTGTATGCAATTTAACGGGTAATTCGTGTAATTTTGTATAGTTTTGATACATGTATAATGATTATTACCATTAGAGTTTCACGTGCATTTAAGCACACGTGTGAATATATCATTAATTATTAAATGTTTACATATTTTTATGATATTATAAGTTATGTAAATTTTAAAGATATAAACTCTTTAAAGTTTTAAAATCAATGGTTTTATTGCCAAAATTGCTTAATTCAAGACTATCCAAACGTTAAATAATTTTCTCTTTTAAACCAAATCATTTGAAAATTTAACTAGTTTAAGCGGAAGAGTTTTAATTTTGTTTAACATGTTCATTTCGAAAGCTGGTGTCATAGTTTCTGAAAAATGTGAATTTCTTTGTATTTTCGTATCAAAATAAATAGTTTTTAATTTCAAATAATTTATTAAAATATAATATACATATTAATGGGTACTCGTCTAATATGCTACCTACCGCTAATTCGTTGGTGTAGTATGCTACCTACCGTAAAATAAGCTACCTACCATAAAATAATAACAAATTAACAACAATTTATTACTAAATAATTTATTATTATATAATATATTATATATTATTATACATCATATACTATTTTTATATCATTCCAGAAAACTTCTAATAAATCGTGTTGGGTATTAACGGACCACCACCATTCTTCTATTAATTGTTCTATTAATGTTATTATTATATTATTTTTGTACTTATTTTTATTGATTAAATAAAAATTATGTCAAGTTATAAATTTTAATATATTTTGAAGTGTATTATTGTGTACTAAATATAATTTTAATTCGCGTATACGTTTATTATAAATACACTTCTAAAATCGAAACCTCTTTTATATATTGTAAACGGTTAAATTTGGTTGATTTTAATTATACTCGATGCATATTGGTTTTTATGCATAATTAATTAAAATAAATAATATTTAAACATTGCAGATTTATAAATATCAATTTACCTATACATATTTAAATACTTTAATACTTATTGTGTATTTATAAGTTACTTTAATATTGATAATTCAAGATTAAAAACCAGAAAAATATTACTTATGAAGTGTAATTCAACTAGTCATAGTGATAAAAGGTAAAATAAAGTCATGTAGAGAGAGAATAATATAGAAAATGAGATAGTAGGAAATTCAAATTTATTATTTTTTACTATCGATTGTTTTCGAAATGTGTTAATGTTTTTTCATTTCCAAATAAATATTATTTCTCTCGTTAGAAAAAATTTAGTTTGTTAGTATATTGAAAGAATATTAATTTTTTATACGTGTTATTTCAAGTAGTTTTCTCCGAGTTAAACTATTATAAGTATTTCACGGTGACGCGATTAAACACTATCTGCAATATAAGATAAAATAATAAATTTTCATTTAAAAAACGATATTCGTAAATATTTATTATTAAACAAGTATTGAAAATTAATTGTACTGATTTTATAGTATTATTGGTTATTAATCATTTGCGAGATGAAACTAGAATATTTCACTTAGTAACACTCGACTCGTATGAATGCAATAGCAACAATAGCAACAACCACTGATGAAAATATAGGGTCAGCATATTATGATAAAGTCACTTTTTTTAAACTAAAACTCGGGATTTATTTAATATTCAGTAGTTGCATATCGATAGATATAATAGCCAATATATATCCTATGAACCTATATAATCCTATATATATCCTATGAATCCTATATAAACTATGAAGTTAACAAAACTAAATATTTTGTTTCGAAAACGTATGATCGATAACAATGAACGTCGATTTTCATAGTAAGCAATCAGTGGCCACCAGTTATGATTTATGTCGAAAAATTAAGCAAATCATATCTTATATTAAATCTAGACTATTTTTTTTTTCTTAAAGACGGTTCACATTTTATTTTTGTTAAAAGAAGGATTATAATAAAAAGAAATATGTACATATGTATTTAATATAATTATAAAATTATATATATATAAATTGTAACATTATGTAGTCTATCACTGATTTAAGCGGGATATAGATTTTAGTAATTTGCGTTGCCTTTAACATGCATGTTGAAGACCATCAACGAAGACTAATTCATCAATATGATTAATTAAGATACCTCCAACCAAATTATAACTGTTTACGTTAACTTTTATACTTCAGAATAGATCTAACATATATTATACCACAGAGTAGAATAATCAGAATGGAATTAATAACATGGTAAGATAGGACAAAAAAAATTATCAGATGCCATTTTAGTTAAGGTGGTTTTCATAAATTTTAGCTATTGATTAGAACATTTTTATAACAAAAATTATACTTGACTTTCGATAATTTCTATTCTATTTTGTGATTTTTAATTTGTATTTTCTATTTTTAGTTTTGTGTTTTATAATGATTATTCAATTATGTGAAAATTAAGTTAATAAAATAGGATATTGGAAAATATTTTAAAATCTGAGTCAACTTTTCTACACTTAATTATTATTTAATACATGGTATATTTTCCTAATAATTGAACATGAATAAAAGTAAACGGTAAATGCAATGAGGTATTAACACAGATTAGCTTTAATATCAAAAAGTAAAAATAATTTCTGTTAGAGAAATTTGTAAACTGTAACGTTGTTTGGAATGTTTTTATAATCCCGCATT